TCAGATCATGTACTAAGTGATTCTGATGGACCTACGGCTACTGTATCCAGTGAACATTGTCCAGCAAGGAATGATGATGAATCACTACAATCCTCTACTGATCATTCCACTGCACATTCAGACAATAATGGTATATTATACATGTTACAATATTACAAATTCATGTACATGTATACTTTTATAGCAGCTTCTTGTGATACTTTGTATTCTGGAATGATGTACTATGATAAGAAAGAAGTTGGTCATTGGAAAGCTATGTATTCTGTTGTTAGAGATTTGGAAGTTCTTAAAAGGGTATGCACATGCATATACTAACGCATACAAATTTTGATTATTTATTGTATTTTATGTTTATACAGCACTTGGAAAGCAAGCAGGCATCAAGTATTGAATATGATGATGTTGTTGACTCATTTAAGTTTATTCAACCAAATGGAACTCTTGAATTGACACTAAACACTGAGCGGCAGGTAGGATGGACTGTTAATCCTATCAGGAGTCCAATGAAAGTAAGTACACGTACCACAAGCCAGTTTTATCTAAAGTATTCCTCCGTTTTGTATGTTTGTAGTTATATCAGTCAAGAGTTGATCAGTTTCCATTAACTCCCTCATATGCAACCTGCAGTATATCAGTGTATGCTAAACCTTGTATTGCTAAAAATCCACTTCATTGCCCTATTGAATTAACTGGAATAGATCCTTCAATGACAATCTATATTGATCGATGTCCTCCACCTTCCCCTTCATCAATGAGTAAGTTAACAATAATTGATCTGTAACTGATTGTTTTATTTGTGTAGTAGACAGTACTAGCTCAAGCTCCTCTACTGCTAGTATCAGTCAAACCAGGAGAGAGACTGAAGAAGGTATGGTTGATACTAACATAATAACACACTAATCACTGAATTTGTATCATTAATAGGTACATTTAGATCTGATATTGCTCATAGAGTAATGACAGAATGTACTTCACTAGTAAAGGATTGTGGGATTGATATTCATTTCTTAGTCGATAAGTTGTTGGAACACAAAATTGTAAATGCAAGAGAGAAAAGACGAATTGTTGCTCAAGAAAGTGACGATGAAAAGATGGATGAATTGCTTCACATCATTTTGAGTTCTATTTGCTTGGATGGAGAAGTATTTGGTATATTCTTAGATATACTCAGAGAGGAAGATACTAGAAGGACTATCAAACTAGCTGATCAACTAATACAAAAATATAATAATAGTTAGGTACTATGCTTTATTATTATTATTGTTGTTGTTGTTGTCGTTGTTTTGCTTATTGTTGATTTCATCAGAGCAATTGCTTTTAAAAATTATAACAAAAAGGACAAAATTAAAAAAATTAAAAAATGTAAAAATTCTTGAGTATCTCTTCATGGACATACATGTACAGTTGTCATAGCAACAGTCATTATCCTCAGGAATGCTACTGATCTAGTTGTTAGAGTAATTCTTCTATAGAAAGTAGAAGGAGAAAGAGAGAGAGAGAGGATCAAGAGAGAAAGAATGGAATGAAATCATGAGAAGTAACATGACTTACCCTCTTTGATGAAAAGGAGCATACATTGGGTACCCCATAAGAACAGTAACAGTATACCATAACCTAATGATAACAATAAAAAATGTATCATGTAATAAGTAAAAGAAAATGCATGTAGACATGTACATGGATGCACATAGCCTTTGCTTTTTTCAAATTTGGCTCAGTTTTTTAAATTCTTCAATTCTTATAACATGAAAATTATCAGCTCAATATTTCTACATAGCATAAGGACATCAATATGTATCAGGAAGTGTAATAAAAATTGGGGGTAATTTTGGAGCTATTTTTTACAAAAAAGCATGGGCTATAGCCTTGGGTATTTTTTAAAAATTGGCCTATTTCTAAAAATCCTCATAACTTGAAAATTATTAGTTGGAAACAACTCAAATTTTCTACACAGCATAAGGACATATATATGTATCAGGAAGTGTAATAAAAATTGGGGGTGATTTCGGAGCCATTTTTTACGAAAAAAAATGGGCTATAGCCTCGGGTATTTTTCAAAATTTGGCTTATTTCAAAAAATGCTCATAACTCAAAAATTATTTGTCGGAAATGTTTCAAATTTTCTACACAGCATAAGGACATCAGTATGTATCAGGAAGTGTAATAAAAATTGGGGGTAATTTTGGAGCCATTTTTTACAAAAAAACATGGGCTATAGCCTTGGGTATTTTTTGGAAAATTGGCCTACATGTGTATTTCTAATTAAAATGCTAATAACTCAAAAATTAGCTGTCGGAAACAATTCAAATTTTCTAAATAGCATAAGGACATCAATATGTATCAGGAAATGTAATAAAAAATTAGAGTGTGATTTTGAAGCCAATATAAAATTAAAAATAAAATTATAAACTCACTATATTATCATTTCCTCCTGACACCAGTTGCTGATGATTTGTTGACCAGTGAATCTCACAGACCTCCTGGGTGTGGTCTAATAGTCTCCTGGTAGACATGGGTCCCACTGTAATATTGACCCACTACATAATATATCACCAGTCCATGACAGGGAACCTCTGACAGAGACAGTGTAATTCAATTTAACATTTTGTGGTTTATTGACAAAATAGACTCCAAAATATTTATTACTAATTTTAATACATAAACATGTCAAATTTGTATTAAATACGTGTAATGTACATGTACATTGTATTCTCATGCTGTGTAAAATGTTTAAGCTAATTCTCATCACTAAATTTTGGAGCTACGTGTGTACATGTACATGTACACATGTCAACAGTCAAAAATGTGCACAATTTTGGAAAGAAGAATTTGAGATAAAAGCAACAAAAATTTATTACTATAAGTTTTATTCTTCCACACGGTTACAGGGTAAGCACGTTAAAAATGAAAGTGGCTTTGGCTGTTTACAAAAATATTAGGTCACACACATAAATTTAAACTACACAGTATTTATTAAAAGACATATTAATATTCTTACTCAGGAGGCAGCATAGCTTTCATCATCACAACTACCACACCTCCCCTCACTCCACCCACTCCTCATCCTTACCTACACAACATCACATGACTATCATCAAAAGTTACATGATCTCTCACTTGTATGGTGACGAGGGGATCTTGAGGGACGAGGGAGAGGTTGGCCGTCACATGTGGTCTCCTGGTTCTTCAATACAAGAGATACTAGGGGACCAATACTGTTCCTTTCCGGAGGATGTCAGGTCTCATTCATTTAATTAAGAGGATGACATCAAAGAGAAGATAATGAAGAGACTCAAACCTTCCTAACATATAGGAGAGACTATAATAGAAAGAGAGGGAGGGAGAGATATACATAGAGAAAGGAAAGAAGGAAAGGAAAGAAGGAAAGGAATAGAATGAGGGGGAGGAGGGAAAAGGAGGGAAGAAAAATAGAAAGAAGAAAGGGAAGAAAGAAAAGAAACAATGAGAAAATGGACAGAGAAATACATATGTACATGGTGATAGTAAATGTTTCCTGTTTTTCTATCTCTTTTCCTTCAAATTGTGTGTGCCACTACTTAGGTACAGTTTTCATGGATTAGTAAAGTGTACGAATCAAGTTAACAAATTAATAAGTTAACTATAATGAAGCAGCTAAAAGCACAAAAAACAAAAAACATGCAGTACATGTACAGTGTACATGTATCATTAACTGAAAATGACTATAATAATTACACATGTACATGTACATGTACATGTAGCAATTAATGCACAATGTTATGAAGACAAATTGAGGTAATACTGTCCATGCAGTATAGCTAATAGGAGGAGCACATGAATCAAAAGCTGAGATCCCTCACTCTCTCTCTCTCTTACTCCTCATTATTTCAAGTTTTCTCATTCAATCTATTCTCTTATCAACATTATTCTGATACACATGTACATGCACATACATGTATTTTGGTACAGTACATGTACATGCATCCAATTCCGTTAGTGTATGGATCTGTTTTAATTCCATATTAGGACTTACATGTACATGTATCCTTTTCACAGACCATGAGATGGACATGATGGTATTACAATCATCATCAAGAACACATCATTTTATAACTGGAGAGAGAAGAAAACGGTACAAAGTGCATACAACATTTACCTTGCAAATATTTTAGATAGTTTATCCAGTTTATTCACATTATTAGGTAGACATGTTAACTCATTATACTGGACCTATTGAAGTTTTCAATATCATCAGATATATCTTTGATTTCGTTAGATGATAGATCCAGTTAGTCTTGCGTAGCCAGACCCATCCCCCTTTTTGACAATTTGGACTCAACATCAACTTTCATACATCCACATGTTCAGTAATGCGTCATAAAAATGAAAATAAAAAAATCAATTTTTTGGTGAACTAAAAAAACATGTCAGTTACAAGTCTCACACAGCGGCCTCCTATACCTGTTTGACAGGTTCAGTGAACAGTTTTACGAGCCTTGTTTCAATATGGAGTCTGGTACAGTCCCCTCCTTACCTACCCAATCACTTTGACTAGGAGAATTGAAGAAGTTGGGGTTTGGTTTGAGCTCGGGTAAGTGTCGGGTTTGAGTTTTTTTTTATAGTAGAACCAGCAGGAGATTTTCTACTGGCACCACGACTTATGAATATTGGATAAATGGGTTTGGTCTTATGTTGCATAGTTTGGGTGGGGCTGGTTTTTTGCAAGAATGGCATCTAAAAGTGAGGGCCACTATTCTCTTCCAGGGGCGTAGCTGGACCTTGGGTGATGGTAGGGCAAGGAGACAAAATGGCGCGCAAAGCACGCCGCGATTTTGGCCACACTCCTTTTACGTAACAAAATGGAAGCATTTTCCTGCAAGCTGAGCGAAATCAGAGTGAAATTATCATTGTATATAGCTTTAAAAAGAGCTGTGGTTATCAGCCACCCCCTTTTGTTATTGTAAGAACAATGAATATAATCTCTTGGGTTATAATTTCAATGAATATAATTATAAGGCCACTTTGATGGTAGGGCCCAGGCCCCCTCAGGCCCTACCTCAGCTACGCCCCTGTTCTCTTCTCTTTGTATCTCTTTCATTCATTCTTTGTCTCTCTTACTCTCTCACTTACTTTACTCCTCTGTATCCTGTCCTTATTCTAACTCATCACTATATTACTGTTGCTCTGTTACTGGTACCTCTTGTTCTCTAGACTATCAACCAGTGAAGAGGTATAGTCACTCCACAGTAAAGGTAGGAGACTACCTATATATGTGGGGTGGGGCCGGGTCTGGAGTACACTATGATATGATGGAGGTGTATCACTTACCAACTGGTGCTTGGGACCAGAAACCTACTACTGGTACCCCACCACCAGGTACTTATGGGTATTCATCAGTCGCTATTGGGAAGGACATATATTATTTTGGTGGTGGTGGTTATGAAAACAGCTTACATTGTTTGAATGTGGATTCATTCAAGTGGAGGGAACTCTCTCCTTCTAGTTCTGATTGTGGTCCAATGAAGAAGGCCTACTCTGAAATGGTATCAGCTCATTTTGATGGTGAAGACTATCTTGTAATAATTGGAGGAAGTCAATCATCTTCTATCAATGCTCCAACGCAACCTGATGCTCAGTATAAAGATTCTTATGGTTATTTGAGATGTAATGAGATACATTATTACAGGATTTCATCAGGTCAGTAATTCTCATCATTGATACACAATATAATTGATCAAACTGAATAATTTGTATTAATGTACATAAAACAGATTGTAAATAATTGAGTGTGTTTGTTAGTGTGTCTCTGTGCATCATGTGTTTGTGTGTGATAATGACGTTTGTGTGTGTGTACTGATACATACATTATGATGTGTCTGTGTTAGACTGTGTATGATAGTGCATATAATGTATGTGAGAATTAATGAATTATTGTATGACATGTGTATGTGACATGTATCTATAATGTGCATGTTATGTGTGTGCAAGTATTATCATGTATCTGTGTGTGTGTGATGTTTGTATATGTACATGTATCTATACATAAGTTAAAGTGACATGAGTGTGTGTGTGTAGGTTCATGTTAGTTATTATCATTTTTAACTAGACGAATGTAAGTATCACATGAGTCACAAATTACTCACATACAATGTTCATGAGTTTTGTATAATTATTCATTAACAATCATAACTGACATGTACCAGAATAGATTAGTAATCTTCAAATAAGGACATCTCCTTCATGTGTACAGGTGTGGTGTGTGTGATGGTATGTGCATCCATACATGAGTGTATCTGTGTGTGTGTGTGTGTGTGTGTATCATGTGATAGTGATGTGTGTCTATGCATGATGTGTATGTATAAATAATAATGCACACACATATGCACATACATATGTATGATGAATGTGTATAATGTATGTGTGTGTGTATGTGGTAAGTAAGTGTACATGAATGTTTGTACATTATCATTAGATCAATGGATATCTCCTGTTGTTACTGGAGACAGACCACCTCCTATTGAGGACTTCACTCTAACACCAGTTACTAATAACACTG